TTTGATGCTTTAAATCCAGAAGCCTGTTTCTGATCTTATGAAACAAAGGTTAAGTGATGGTACCTTATTAGTTTCATCCACATTGATTTGTGATGAAAAGTTTCTATGAGAATTAATTTTTTGGAAATTCTTACGCAACTTTATTGTCAACTCATCACTAATTCTTTAATTGTCAATGTTTTTTAAATCAATCAAACCATCTTTGATTAGTCACAAAAGATTTGATTCTGCTATCCAGTTCTCCTTGAAATTGAAATAAAACTGAAAATTCTTTGTATTTTTGCCATGAATATAGCTGTACTTAAGGGAATCTTAAGTTGTACTTTGTGATCAATCTCTATTGGTCAGCCATGTTTCCATCTCTTCAAAAACTGATTTTCTGCATTACATCACTTTTTTTAGCCAACATACTTGATGATGATGTAGCACGAGATTTAATTTTTTTTTTTAAATTTTGCAAAATTATTCGTATAGTTGAAGATGCTAACTTTATGGAACTTTTTTGCATTTTGCTGCTGCCCACATCAACATATTTACTTCCAAAGAAATTGCTTTTCTCTTATTAGGAAAATCCATCTCAATATGCAATGAATAAAAAAAAATATTTTTTTCCATTTTTTGGCAAACCTATGAGAAAACAGAAAATAATCCCAAAATCACCAAAGTAATTTATTGTGTATAAAAAAGTCTGGTAGCTAAAATGCAAGATACATAATATAATAGAGCGGAGAGCGAGAGGCCATCGGGTGGAAATTACTGCAAGACGCAAAAAAGTCTACTTGTTATCCTTTCATTCACTCATTTCTCGTATCATATTCACAGCTATTAATATACAATTCAGTTCTATAAAGATATATTTCTAAATTTTCTCACTGGAAAAAAAAAAAAAAAAAAAAAAAAAAAAAAAAAAAAAAAATCAACTGTATTCTGATGCAAAAATATGAGATTTTTAATTTTTCATAAGCTGATTTTTAAAACAGCCTTTTATCCTTTCTGATATATATTCTTTATGAGATTCAGTTCTCCTGTATTTACTTTCTTCGTGGGTCTCTGTGGATTTGCTGAAAAGTGATATGGAAGCTAAACGACTGATTTGCTGTTACTATTTTAATAACTGTTTTGAATCTATTTTAAGTGATAACCAATCTTTTTGCAAACGGAATAATTTACCAACATCATTTCAATAGCAATCATTACTTGCATGCCAGCCACAATTATCGATTTAATAAATTTTCCAATACTAGGATAAAATAAATGTACTGAATAAGTATTATACACTTAAAATAAAATAATTAATACTTTGACCATGAACATGGACAGAATACCTACCTGCTATCTTTTATTAAGGTAACATTTGAAGCATACTTACACTTTTGATAATAGGCCACTAGAGCTTTTGAAATAGCTTGTCTTATAGCTGTGGGGGAGGGGGAAAATTCAATGTCAGTTTTTTGAGAACGTAAATCTAACAATCATAAGGCATTCAATATTTTCAAAACTGCGATTTTAATGTAAATAATATGGAACAACAAAATAGAATAAGAATCAATCTATTGATATTTGTTTAATGCAGGGTTTCTTAAACTTTTGTCAGTCGCGACCCCTTTTTATCACAGAGATTTTTTTTGTGACCCCCATAATATTACAAAACTTTTGTGGAACCCCACAAGTATTGCGCAAATCCGACACATGCGTGAGTGAAACTGTCAAAATTGTAATATACTATTGCAATTTTAGGTCATTAACTTTAATTTCTTATTTTAAGACAGAACAATGTGAAAATTTTAAATAAGTAACAGACGAAATGACAACATCATGTGCAAAGCAAGGAATAATGTAAAAAGAATGCGTCAAAACATTTTCGTTTTTTTCTTTGATTGTATTGTCTTATCTTTATCTATCAGATACATTGTGTAAAAATATTTCACAATTGTAAAATAATTATAAGAAATTAAAGAAATATCAAAACTGCTAAATTTTTTGGCGACCTGCAGGTCCTCGCGACCCCCAACAGTTTAAGAAACTCTGGTTTAATGGCTATTAATGATAGTTAAAGTTCTCATTTTGTAGCAATCATATCTTTAATAAAAGGATTCAATAATTATTTTCCTTAGAAAACTGAATAAAATTTGTAAGAAATATTAAAAAAATCCGAAACTCTTTTTAAAACTCTGATAAAGGAAATTCATATATTTTAATTAAGAATTTCTTAAAAATGAGGGCAGACTGTCCTTTTCTTAATGCCATTCCTATTAAAAAACGAGTTAACAATTAATGCATAATTACAAAAGATTATGAAGTTTTAGAAACTTTCAATGGCCCATACAAATACATAAAACCAAAAATCCACTGTGTAATTTTTGCATGCACTTAGTTCTTACTGCTAGAAAAGCTTAATAAATCACATTACTATTATGGAGTAAGTGGCAAAGACAGCACTACAAAACATTTGCTGAATAGATATAAAAAGGAAGATACATTTACTTCAATCTTACTAAAATGATTATAAATAATAATGCTGAGACCTTAAAAAGAATAACTAAACCTGGCTTTTGCTTCAAACAATATACTAATTATACTAAATAAAAATGTTCATGAGAATGAGTGAAAACTATCAGAAGTTTTTTTGATTTAATCAAAACTTTTTTAGAGATAGCTACTTATAATTATTTGTTAAATAATGTATATAATATAATTTTATACATACTTATATATTTTTAAAAGCGTAGAAAAATCTCTAAAATTACATGAACTTAATTCAAACAGTACAATACATAGATTAGTTACAAATGTTTGACACCTCAGAAAAAATGTAAATATACATTCAATAAGAGAAAAGGATCTCAATTTTATCTACCTGTACGGCTCTGTTCTCCAACCACTGGATTGGAGCCCTTATAAGTACAGGATTACTTACACGCATGCGTACATTTAACCCTGAGGATCCAATATGTTTCAGAGGGTTAACTTACAAAATAGATTTATCAGAAATATTTATTATTTAATCAGATCCTCATATCTCAAATTTTGCATCAAATAATTCGAGATAATTAAAGTTTTAATAAGAATTTTTTGATAAATTTTCGAGTAACAATACACAGTTAACAAAGAGACATTAATAAAAATATATGTTGGTAATGCCTTAAAATAAAACATGATCGTGTTATCAATTTTTGTATCCACTTAAATTGCATTGTATTATTTTTGTACTGTTTTTATTTAGTTACTGGATTATATTGCATTGCAGATAATAATTTTAGGATGCATTTTTGTGTAATTGAATGTACAGCTAGGAAATTTGCATTGTAGATCTTGTGATTCTGAATCCAATAATATTCAAATTGTGGAAATAGCCCAATTAAGATATGAAATAGAGAGAAAAGATTTTCCCAAGATGCTTGCTGATAATTTGTCACCAGGTTTGTCATGTGCAACAATTTCTCGCCAATACAGCAACTTTCTAGAAAGTTTAGAATGCATTTTTGAAGTTCTAGGAACACCCTCCAACAATGTTTCAAGATCTTTGCACAACATCTCATAAATACAGATTAGACAAATAAAACGATCAATCTAAATAATATCAGGAAGACTCAGTTAAATAGAAGAAAAATAGTTCAAGAAAATAAGATGAACCGCATTATAAAGTTTACTCTGAGCAATATCAGCAATTTATATTTCTCATATGTTAAGCCTTATTTGCCTAGTATTTGCATTCTCGAGTTATTTATTTTGTCATGTAAAATCATTTATTACAAAAAACTGCGAGTGGTACTTTCTGATTACTACTATCTTCTCAACCATAACAAGAATTTACTGGGAAACATTCTATGTTGCAAAAACAGCCAATCCACAATGTTGGCATAATGTATTTACATGGCAACCAAAGCATGTGCATGTTGCCAAAAAAAGCAATCGAAAATATACTTATGTGACAACCAAAGCGTGCTTTGGAGTAGATGAGTGGCGTTCTTGACCTTCACATTTTGATATTTCTATTTGTTTTTGTTACACTGAGTGCATTTTTCTTCTTGTAAGGAATCATCATGGGACTGTGGACTTCGCCAGCTGATTAAGATAAAGAATACATAGAATTTCTTCAGAAATATGCTGATTTATACAACAGTTAGGAAATGCAAGAAATTGCATTCCACAAAGTTGTACTACTTTGTAAATGATTGAATTTTATGGATCAAAATTTGTGCAATTCTCCAATTTTTTTTTTCTTCTTCTTAAAACAAACTTCTGTGTGTATGTAAAACACACACACACACACACACACACACACACACACAAAAAAAAAAAAAAAAAAAAAAAAAAAAAATTTTTTTTTTTTTTTTTTTTTTTACATAATTCTTAGTGCATCCCTTTTTCATAATGACTGTTGTCTTCTGCATCTTAGCTTGGTAAAAAAATTAATTGCCAATGGTTAGCAACACTTTTCTTCAAATAAACTAAATAGTTACAAGTAACTACAGCATACTTCAGTTAAAAATAACCTGGAAAAGTCTGGATACAAAAGTCTTTGAAACTGGACAATTTTCTTAAAAGCAATTATGTAATGAAAACATTATTCAGAAGCAATATACAAGAATATTATTACCTGCTACAATTTCAGTATCTTGACAGTTCTGTATATTGTAACTGATTTATTCAATTCAAAGGAATTTCAAGATATCATCTTTTGAAGATCTGAGTTATTCCTTTGCTCGCTTTAAATTCACTATAGCTAAAATTGCATTAGTTTGTCACCAAATGGCAGCCTTCCAAACTTCAAGAACAGGACAATAAAGACACAGTATCTGCTTACATTCCTTTACATACGGCATTCACACCTTTCCTCGTTTTTCAATTTATTTAAATTTTTATCTGCCTTTTATTTAATTTATTGCTTCATTATTCATTATCTTATATATTTGCTGCTTCATTTACATTAGTTTTTTACTATTAATATCTAATTTCATTGTACTTACATTTTATTATTTCATCATTCTCTCTAGTTACTAGTTTATAATTTATTTACAACCCTATTCCTTGTATATTATTCATTTAATTACATTTTTTTTGCAGTTATTTTATTTCATTTAAGGAAATTCAAATTGAACTGCCTATTTATCATTTTTATACAAGAAGTTTTGATAGTGAGGATTTTAAAGAAACTGCTTTGAGACAGCTGCTAGAAACTACCACTTTGACAGTGAATGTGGATGAAATTTAAAAAAAAAAAAATTGTCAATATTTTACCATTTACATATTATCCCATCGACCATGAAACTTAGCAGAGATTCCGCTGAAATTGCACCAATTGTTCCAGCAGAATTCTGAGCAGTATTTATATCTGCATCTCTTAACCCGGGAGAAGTCGTGCGGGGCACAGAGTCACCCCATGCGTCAAAAATCAACAATCCTAACCGGAAATATTTCATTTTAATGAATTATCCTTTTAGTATCCTCCTGTTTGACACTCCCCTTGGAATGCTTTTTGCTTGTTTTTCTTTTCTGCGAGAGAAACAATCGTTTCTTGGAATCCATGAGGGAATGGGGTGACTGAGTCACCTCGTGCGACCGTTACTGCTTCGAAATTTTTCATTAGTAGAAGTTTAGCTTCGTGCTCTCGAGTGTTGCCGTTGTGGTTCTGTTGGATTATTTGATAGATAATGGTTTACAAACGTAAATTTACCGAACATGAAAAAGAGATGGAACGTTTGAGGACTGTATTAGATGAAGTTGAGTCTTCTGAAGAAGAAATTGATCAAGATAGTGAAAATTAAATCTGATGAAGAAATATACAGTTCTCACGACAGCGAAAGTAAATTTGAGCAGAATGATGAAGATCGACGGAAATCTGATTTAGTAAAAAGTATTTTTATTAGCAAAAATAAGAGTTTGGCAGAATGGAAAACCAAATCAAAAAGTGAAAAAGGTCTTCTCAAATTATAATAACTCATTTAGCAGGATTAAAAGAAACTGCACGCAATATAAAGGAAGCTTCTAGAAAGTTGAGGAATTGTTTTTCAATGCTAAAATGATACAATCCATTGTAGAGTGTACAAATATTTATATGAAGAAATATCAGTAAATTACACCAGAAATCGGGATGCCAAAACGACAAATGATATGGAAATTAGAGCACTTTTCGGGCTTTTACATCTGTTACGGCTTGCATAAATTCGTCACATAAAAATACGCAAGATTTGTGGGCTACTGAAAATTGAAACAGGCATTGCAATTTTACGGAACACAATGTCATATAAAAGATTTAAATTTCTTCTCAGGTGTCTACGGTTAGACAATGTGACCAATCGTGAAGCTCGGAAAAAATTGGGCAAACTGGCAGCTGCGAGAGAATTTTTTACCGATTTCAATGAAAATTGCCAAAAGATATACCTTATTGGTAAATATGTTACTATCAAAGAAAAATTAGAGAAATTTCGAGGGTGGTGTTCCTTTTGTCAATATAAACCCAGCAACCCATCGAAGTATGGAATCAAAATATTTGCCTTAGTAGATTCAAGAACTTTCTGCAGCTATAACATGGAGATATACGCAAGACAACAGTCAGAAGGTCCCTTTAGATTTGAAAATTCTTCATTTGAAATTAACGCCTGTGCACCCCTTTGTTTGGGCAGAAATGTAACAAGGATAATTGGTATACGAGTTATCCTCTAGCAAAAGAACTTTTGTCAAAGAAGTTAACTATTGTAGGAACCCTGAACAGAAACAAGGCTGAAATTCCCACCAAGTTCGTCCAAACAAAAACTAGGAACGGTTATTTATCTATATTTGGGTTCTAAAAGAACGCAACAATAGTATCGTATATGCCTAAAAAATCAAAATGTGTAGTTTATCTACAATGCATTGCGATGATGCCATTGATAAAAGTGATGATACGAAGAAACCAGAAATAATTTACAATTTTATATCGTAATAGTTTTTTTTTTTTTTTTTTTTTCAATTTAAACGTAAAAATTTTTTGACAATTTTTTAATTCAACAAGGAGTGAAGAAGATGCCAGCCATATTATGTTTTGAGGAAAAAGATATATTATCTTGTCACATATGCATAAATGGTTACAAAATGAAACTAATTTGTATAATTAAAAAAATGCAAGAAAAAATACAGCAACAACAATTCACATTTATTTTATACTAAATATTTTTTTAGTTACTTTGTTCCTGATAACATAAAGTCTTTTTTTAAGAATCATTGAGGTTATACGAGGGACATCCAGGAAGTAGATTACGTTTCCGTCTGTGTCCACTAGGGGCGGGGCTAGCGCGGCCATCTTGGGGTCAGAGCGTTGCGCAGCTCAGTCTGCATCTAGCCGTGCTAGTGAGAGGTTCGTGCTGTGCTCCGTTCAGATACTGTGACGGTTTGAAATGTCTGCGTTAATTGAAAATCCAGCGAGCTGCGAGGTGCGCTCAGTAATAAGGTTTCTGACTGCAAAAAACTGTAAACCGATAGAAATCTATCGGCAGCTTCGTGAAGTGTATGGGGACAACATTATCACTGAAGTGGAGTGCGTCAGTGGGTCATAAGATTTCAATATGGCCGAACCAATGTTCACGACGAAGATCGAAGTGGGAGACCCAGCATAGTGACCGCCGAACTTCTCGAAGAAGTCGATGCTAAAGTCCGTGAAAATCGAAATTTCACAATAACGGAACTTTCTTTGAGTTTTCCACAAATTTCGTGAAGTTTGTTGCACGAATCATCAGCGAAAAGCTTGGTTACCACAAGTTTTGTGCAAGATGGAAGGCAAGAAGAGGTAACGAAGTGGTTGAAGGCGCAGGCGGCCGAATTTTTCGACGAAGGAATTTTCAAGCTCGTACATCGCTACGATAAATGCCTTAATTTGTATGGTGACTATGTAGAAAAGTAGTATTTGAGTGTGGCTTTCATCTGTATATAATAAAATTTGTTTCCTATACTTTGTTTATTTTTTTATTCCAAAACGTAATCTACTTTCTGGATAGCCCTCGTATGAAATGAAAATGCAGTGTTGTGATGTTACACTTGCCCCTAACTGGTGATAAATTATACTGCTTGATGACAGTTTCTCCATCTACAGGATAGTAATGTTACGAAATATACAGGCGCGGTAAGATAGCTTCCCTGCAAAGCAGTTTTAGGGTTGCCATAAAATAGCAAGGATAGCAGGGTTGGTGAGAAATTGCCCATTTGGCGACAAAATTGGCGATATACCATGGACAGTTGGAGAACCTTCTGGAACGAATTCTTATCGGTTTAGCCCAGAATGTTCCCGAACACAAGCCGAAAGCTACATAAACCCTGCTGGTTCGCAGTCAGTTAATGTGTATGTCTCAGAGAGAGTGTCTCGTCTAGCGAGTTAGTCCGTGCAGAGTCAATCGTGTTGACATCCGGGCAGTGAGTGCCGAGCGGGTCGTCGAGTGCACCGAAGGAGTCTGTTAGTATAACGTGGTTAGTGCATCGTCAAGAGAGCGTGTTTAGCGTCGGGAACGGAGTGCATCACGAGTTGTAGTCCACCAGTCAGTCTGAAAGGGATTTATATTTAGTAGATATATGTAAGTTTGTATTTATTTTATGTAGGGTTTATATTTATTTTAACTAACATTTATTTTAAGTTTAAACCATCTTTCCTGTCAAGCCTTACTTTCCCCTTTATGTAATGTTTTTGTGTTTATGTACGTCCCTTTATGTTTATGTATGTCCATTTATGTAAATTTTAGTAGAACGTGCAAAGCATTCAAATCTTTAGCAGAAGTAATTATTTTGAGTTAAATAAAAGGGAAACGAGTTTCGTAAAACTGTGCTTTTCTTGCTTCCACGAGCGTGAAGGTGGCTAGGTAGAAAGTTGAAGAACCGCCGCGTTTTGGCCTGTGTGCTTGCCTCGGCAGATAGTTGAAATCTTTCAACTTCTCAATCCGAAAGTTTGCTGAAATATCAGCTGTATCTTAGAACGCGGTTAGGTTAGTTACGTTTAGAGAGCCTCGTAGGTAGACACTTGTTATTATTCATTTTTAGTTTCTTATTTTTATTTTACCGCCGGGTCGGCGTAGTTTGTGAGCATCAAGTGCACGCATCTGTAACTTCTAAAGTAGAATAAAAAGGGAGTTAAACCCTTCTTAAGAGTTTTGTGTATTTTCCAGTTCATAGCAGTCACTATTATTGTTGCGTGTAGGTTGGGGCCACGCAACACCACAAGGACACTAAATTTCTATTTGAAAAGCTTATAAAGTCTGAAATCCACTGGAGATTTCAAATTTAGGATTTTTCTGGATATTAGATTTTAGATAAAAATTTACAAAAAAAAAACTTAATATTTATTTGTTTACCTTACTAAATATTTCTTTCAATGTAAGTTGTTTAATAAGTTGCTTCGTTTTTTGTGCTAATACTTTCTCTTTAATTCTGTAGACAGACATAATCTCTTGTTTAGTTACATTGTTGAAGTCCCGTAACTGCTGTTTGACAATTCTGACTAACTTCTCAATCGAAATTTTCTCGTTTTCAGTAACTTCTCTGTCACTCTTTATTATCGGTAGCGGTATTTTCTGGATCTAGAACCATACTACAGATTTCACCATTCATTAGTTAGACTGATGATTGAGTAGCATTGTCATCACAAAAACTTCTATTATATCATCTTCATTTATTACCGCTTCTCCACATTTCTTTACAAAATCCGTTAATCAGAAAATTTTATCTTTACTTTGCGATATCCAAAAACCTTTAAAATTCTTTGCCCTCATCATCAAATTTAGCTATCCTTCACTATACATATTTGGCTATGCATCATGAGCTTGGCAAATAATGACAAGTTGTTCCATTCAATTTTATCTTGCTTCTATTGTGCACCGAGATAGTTAAGCCTGAATTGTATTAGTTATTTATTATACTTATGTCTATTTCTTGCACATGCTTAAAGCTTATCAGAGTTCTAAATAAATAAATTCTTACATCTGCGATTGAATGCGACCATGCAGGCACTGGTTTTGGGTTTATATCAATAACAAATCAGCTATTCTTAATTCAAATAGCCCTAAATGTAATCTTTTGCTCTATTGAGTACCATCAACAAAATCTATTTTTAGGATACGGAAAAAAATTTTTGGTAAATTTTTCCTCATCAAAATATTTTAGCATATTTAACTTAAATCTGAAATCATCACCAAGCTTAATATCAACATAAAAGGGTATCACTCCTTTATTTTTCAATTACCAACATAAAAAATTTGTTTAGGCATCGCTGAACGAGCCACTACTCAAGTTGCCATGTTTTCATAAACATGTGGTGATGAAGAGAAAGTATAATAAATAACGATTTGCTAGGCTGGCATCAGATCAATGATGTATCTACATAGAATGTTTCGGTTTGAGATGTGTGCCAAAAAGCAGATATGCAACACAGCCAAATTACTGATCGTACAAATTTATGCTAAAATGTTTGTTTCTTCAATAACAAGGTATTTTATTTAGTGTCGAAGTTAAATTAAGAATCAGGACTCTCCAGATGTTTTATTATGCGCAGTGGGGGAATCAAATGCGCAGGCGTAAAGCCTACGAGAAAAATGGTGGAGGTGGTTTTGAGGTCCGGATTTTAGATCATTACGGATAATGGACGTCCGGATTTCGGACTTCATACTGTATTACATATTCAACAAGAATTAACAGAGTCCAGTCATTACCAAGGTTTACCATTAAATAAACATATAATAAAAGTATATTACATTATTGATATGAAAAACTACTCTTCACTACCTGTGACATCTTGCAGGAATAAATACGTATTAACAAAAAATATACCACACTGTCTTAAAAAAATTAAAAATAATCCCAGATAAATTTACTTGGTAACGCCTTACCATAGATCTGTGCCACATGTCCGCCTCCTTTAACTCTAACTCTGATATCCACACCTGCAAATCGTTCTTTTCCCAGTAAAAGGATTGGTTCAAGAAGCTGTGGAAAAACAAAAACTTAGTATTAACTCACTTTAATTCAACTGGCTTACATTTATACTGAAATCGTTAGGCAAACTGTATGCAACCAGCCCATCTTTCCAGAATTTAATCCACATCAAATTACTGATAATCAGTGGCCTTATTTCCTAGTAGATTACAACTTCATATAAATTATGTAAGTAGGAATGAATTCTAAAAATATATTTATAAATGAAGAAGAAAAAAAATTAAATAGAAATTTACCTAATTTTTCTATGACATTAAAAGAACTTAACAGGCATATAATGAAGCTTTTAACACTGACAAAAGTATATCAAAGAGAAGATCAGTCAGTCTTTCCTTATATGATGTTAATTATATTATAATTTTTTTTTATTTCTGACAAATTCAGTTTCTTAAAATCTTTTAATTACATTTTCTGTTTAGCATAAGACATCCATATTAGCTTTTTTATATGTCTGATTAAAGAACTACAGTCAAAAGTCGTTAATCCGGACTCGTCGGGACTTCGGCGATTCCGGATTATCGATTTTTCCGGATTATAGATCATCAGTTTAAATCTGGTAAGATGGCATGCAAAAATTACAAAATTAAAAATATGAAACCGTAATTTATGAAATAAAGAACAATTATGATCTAAAGGGTATCAAAATTACAAAAGAAAAAAACTTAATATTTATTTGTTTACTTTATTAAACATTTCCTTCAATGTAAGTTGCTTCGTTTCATGTGATAATACTTTCTCTTTAATTCTATTAAACAGACATAATTTCTTGTTTAGTTACAAAGTTCCGCTGTTCAAGTCCTATAATTGCTGTGTTGAGAATACCGACTAATTTGTCAATCGAAATGTTTTCGTTTTCAATAACCTCTGGGTCACTTTCTTCACTATCGGAAGCGAATTATAATGACCAGGAACTTGATTTAAATCATATCAAAGACGGGGATGAAATACTAAACTTAGTACTGAATTATAATCCAAATAAAATAAAAACATCTGCTCTGAAGATAAGGATAGTGTTGACAGATCAACTTCCAATCCAGGGTGTGAAATTGATAAACAGATTTCGGATTTCAAAACATACTTTCGCTTTGTAGATACAAATTACATATTAGTAAATATATATTGGAAATTCTATTCGACATAATCTTTCTAATCTATCATAATCTAATAATGACGTTTCTGCCCCCCCCTCTGCCGCAGAGCAGCGTGAAATTGATAAACAGATTTCGGATTTCAAAAACATACTTTCGCTTGTAGTAAATATATATCGGAAATTCTATTTGACATAATCGAAAGTTCAAGCTTACTTTTATAAAATTGCTCTAACAGTCTGCAAAAAATAATAAGCCGGATCCAATTCGAAGATTAAGGAACAACGCAATCTGCAACATTAACTGAATTAGATCATTTTAGCTTAGCGTATAACTCCGTTACACATTAAACGCGCATGCGCACAAACATATTCGCAGCCGTAAGGGTCTTACGCGCTCTCGTAAATGCCTGTGCGCATGCGTGAACGCGACGCATGCGCAGAAAGTTTGTAGCTTTGATGTCCGGATTATAGATCATTCCGGATTATGGGTGTCCGAATTAACGACTTTTGACTGTATATAAATGTGCAATTTTTTCTTGCTGATGTTCAAATACATAAATTTGAACATGTTAAAAAGTACGAGATTAGTATTTCCCAAACTTTTTTCAATGTTGGCACTTAACAGAATATATATGATCTAAAGATTCTGAATTAGTACAATGATTGCTGCTGAATATTATTAACTCATACCATATATACCTGAGTATAAGTTGACAATTTTAAGGGAAAAAAACTTCGAAGTAGGGAGTTGACTAATACACGAAACCTGGAAAAAGAAAAAAAAAAAAAAAAAAAAAAAAGATCTGTCGCTGCCGATCGATGACGCGTCAGAGAACTCGATTATATCATTTAGTTTTTTTAAATAAATGTGTTTCAATTTTGTTTATGAAGTGACGGTAATGACACTTGTGATGAATGGAGTGACGAAATTTATAACTGAAAAAGAGTTTCAGGATTTATTTGCAGATTGTGACTTTGAATGAGAATTTAAAGCATTCGAATGAAATCCTTTGAAAATTTTGTACTTATTTAAAAATTTTATTATGTGCTAAAATAGAAATAAAACAAAAATTTGCTAAAATTTGAGTGTAATTTTATCAAGTACAACGGCATGCTGTTTTAATGGCAGCGGCAGCGCCACACATACGACAAATGTGTTTTTCTGAAAAGTTTTTTCAAAAGTCTGGGGGGGGGAGGCGGGGTTGAATTATATGCCGGTATATACGGTATCTATTAATTTAAAGTCAGGCTCATATTCCAAAATTTTTAATCATTGCTTTGTGCCTGACAGATCAGTTGGTCATCTGAAATATGCATAAATCAGCTTCTTCACATTTGCATTACATCAAAAAATATAAGCAAAGTTTTAAATTTAAATAAAGCTTCACGACATGCAGAACTTTTTTACACAGTATGCTGTGCACTGTAAAAATACAAGTATTAATAAATGTATAATAATAAATAAAGCTAATATCTCAAAAAATCGAAGTTCATTTCAATTTTATTACAATATATCCAACGTTCTAGGAATTTATTGATAGTTTTTTTTTATTTATCAATATTATAATACAGTTTTTTAACATAATCTTCATTTAACTGAATGTATTTATCCCTATGAAAAACTTTTTTAAGCTGTCCTCAAAAGGAACTTTTCTGGTATATGCTCAATCCACCTATTTATGGCATGGTTAAACTCAAATCCAACATGCCGTAAATTATGTAAAGATCTGGTATTGCGGTACTTTTCTGTTATCAAGACCTGATTTAGAAATGTATGTATGCATGCATGTATATATGTACATAAACACAAACACAAGTTTCCAAACCCGGTCCTGATAACAGAAGTGTACTACAGTACAAAGTCTTTAATCCGGACATCCATAATCCGGACCTCAAAGCTACAAACTTTCTGCGCATGCGTAAACATGTAATGAGTCTATGCATGCGCGTTTAATGATGGTATAAGCTAGGCTAACACTATCTATTTCAGTTAATGTTGCAGATTGCATTGTTCCTTAATCTTCTAATTGGATCCACCTTATTATTTTTTGCAGACTGTTAGAGCAATTTTATAAAAAGTAAGCTTGAACTTTCGATTATGTCAAAAAGTTTCCGATTCTGGAGTTGCCAAAGGATCTACAAAGCAAAAGCATGTTTCGATGTCCATCAAACAAAAAGTGGAATTGCTGCAAAAAATAGATAAAGGCATATCCTTTGTTTCTCTAACCATTCCGAAATCTGTTTTATCAATTTCACGCTGCTCTGCGGGGGGTTGCCCAATGAACTGGAAGTTAATCTGTCAGCACTATCCTCATCTTCAGGGCAGATGTTTTTATTTTATTCGGCTTATAATTCCTTACTAAATGCAGTATTTCATCTCAATGTACTCCATCTTTGATATGATTTAAATCAAATTCGTCGTCATTATAAATATCACGAATACACATCAAATAGTTTTCTGGTTGCAATTTTCTAATTTCGACTAATGCACGCTTTGTGCATGCGCGTGTTGAAAGAAATGTTTAAGTAAACAAATAAATATTAAGCATTTTTTGTCAATTTTGATACCCTTTAGATCACAATTGCTCTTTATTTCATAAATTACGGTTTCATATTTTTAATTGTATAATTTCTGCATGCCATCTTACCAGATTTAAATTGATGATCTATAATCTGGAAATACCCCTAATCCGGAATCGCCGAAGTCCCGACGAGTCCGAATTAAAGACTTTGTACTGTAGTACTACTTTATTTTCACAGCCCCAGGATTATCCGGCAAAAAAAATAAGATGTTCTTTTTCCAATTTAAACACTGTAAAAAAAGTTACCGAATTTTATGAATCATATTATATTGTAACAGTTTTTTTTTCAATTTAAACGTAAAAATTTTTTGACAATTTTTTAATTCAACAAGGAGTGAAGAAGATGCCAGCCATATTATGTTTTGAGGAGAAAGATATATTATCTTGTCACATATGCATAAATGGGTACAAAATGAAACTATATTTGTTACGAATTTTGTACCTAGATTATTTTAGTGAAATTATATGCAAAATTGTTGTATTTTTCTGTATAATGCAACATGAAAATCTAGAGCGATGAGATAAATAAAAATATAGGGACAAGTCTATTTAACATTGAATAAATGGGCACCTCTGCAATTTGGTGAGATATTGCCAAGCAAGCTGGCAATGGTTTTGCGAACTAATTTTTGATGGCAAAGTTGAAGACACTTTGGTCTAGTCCTTGTATAACCATAATACATATTGTAACTGATCACTATATTAGCTGTAACTATTCAGCCCTCACACTGCCTTCTAGTAATTTCAAGAATCAGAATGTACTAAAAATACCTCGACTGCTGTGTGAAAATTATACGAGGTCAGAAAAAGCATCTGCTCTCAGTTGTTGTTAGCTGTTACCTCCGCATGAGTTCTGAGCACTATCTCCGGTTTAGCTTCGCGGTTCAGCTGCACTTTGCCCTGCGTTGTATTTAATGTTCATAGTAGGTTTAGCTTTTCTCTTTAGCCGAACTTTGAACGGTGTTGTGTTGAACTTTCTTAATTTTAAGTGTCACTACGGATTGTACTCTGCGATACTATGAAGATTTACAGAATTTTTGTGTAAAGCCTCAGAAGTGCTCTTTTGAAAAAATTAAATTTAACAACCTATCATTAGACCTGTATGCATTCAATCTATTACGAACCTGTATGCACGCAACAATATGTAAATGAAAGTATGTGAAGGTGCAACATGAAAAGTTGTAAAAAAAAATAGCATTCAATCCAACATGTTTAGTGATTCCAGTATAGCATTCCTAACAGTGCTACATTTCATCTACTGTTGCACAGAGGAACTAACGTCACTTAAGTGATGCAATAAACTATTCAACTGTTCAACA